AGCAAATCCCAGCGCAACTTTTTAACGCTGATACCATTTACAACTCTCAGAGTAACAGCCCTGTTAGTCTGTATCCGCAAAAAGAAAAGGAGGACTCCTGGCACCTTAGAGACTAAGCAATTTATTTGAGCATGAGCTTTCCTGAGCTACAGCTCACTTCATCGGATGCATACTGTGGAAAGTGTAGAAGATCTTATTATATACACAACTCTGTTTGCAATGCTGATGCCATTTTGGGGGGGGGGCAACGTTTCCCGTCGCTGCCAAGCTTGCCGAGTTCGGTGCTTAAATTCCTTCGGCCCCCCACCCACCTACAGCCCCAACCCTTGGACGTGTGTTCTTTTGCACGCCAATGATGTGGCGCTAGGATCTCCACAGTCTTCTTTTGCACGACTAAAGCGATCCTGTTTTATTCTGAAAAAGTGCCGCACAGGGATGTAGCCCTGGCTGACAGCATTCCCATATCTGAGGAGAGATTTACAGAGCGGAGTCCGGCTGGATGGGCTCCCTCGGTAATCGGAATCCTTCGGAGATTTTGGGGGTTTTGGGGGTTTTTTTGGACGAGTTGTTCTGTCTATAGACCCATTTTAGTAGCTGCCTTGAAGTTCACTTCATTAACTGGTGGCTGGGACTGAAAGGGAGGGGGAAGGGAAGTAGAGACGTGTGTGTTTGTGTTTCTGTATGTGTGTGAGTGTAAGTGTGTGCATGTGTGTGTTATAAATATGCAGCTCTCTCTCTCTCTCTCTCCGTGTGTGTGTGTGTTTATAATGCAACCCGTACAGAGCACCTCTGCGGGTACACTTTTTTTTTTTGCACTCCCGTGTCACCAAGATTTGTGCATGATTTAAAACTCAACCTTCCTCCAGCTTATCAGCTCTCTCCTCTTTAGCACCGGCTTGACTGCACACGTATAAAATTTATCAGCACAAACTGGATCCTAAAAAGGGGAACCAAACTGAAGCAAAATTTTCCCTTTATTTTGTCAATCAACTGCAGCTGTAAATTTCCTTCTTCCCCAACCCCTCTCTCTCAACAGGGACAGAGAGGAGGCGGGGGTGGGGGTGAGGGTGGGGGTTTGCCTCTATAGAATCCAGCAGTCTCTAGTGTCCCTTGCAAATGTGAATCTCCCCAAAACCTGATCACTTGTATTGCTTCCTGCGGAAACAGACAGACCTACCAGGTCTAAGGGAGAAATCTCCCAGCTCTGCTTTATGAATCAAGATGACCGCTTGAGATCACCCTGGCCCATTGTCCTTTCCATTCACATGCAAGGGAGTGGGGTGAAGGGGGCAGAGATTGGATAATTTATTTCCTCTCCCCCACCCCCCACTTTCCTCCCTACCCCGGAATTTAGAACTATCGACACAAGGGAGGAAGGTTCTGGGGAGTTCTCTGCCCATCTTGCAAATCACAATCACTTGCAATTATTTCATCTTCTTGGCTGGGAATGACCCACCACCCAAATAACTGTTGCACGAGGAAGAGAGAAAGCCAGCCCGCAATCCAATTTTGTGCATGCGCCCATTTCGACATCAGTGCTCGCCTGACCCTAACACTAAACATCAATAACATAGAAAAGCCCTGATCCACCTAGTAATGGCCAAATCCGGCTATCCATTCGTAATTCAGCGCTCAAAATGACCTAGCGGGGAGTACAGGGCACAGGATTATGCGTACAATCATTGATGGGAGGCAATACAACCAGCTAGGCTTCAAATATAACCCTCAAATCTTTTAGAGGAGGTTAAAATGTATGTGTGTGTACACATCAAAACACAGTGTAGTGTGTATGTACACACACACACACACACACACCCACTGTGGTTTGATGTGTACACACACATATACATTTATACATTCAGTGTGTGTACACACACACACAATATGTGAGTATAGAGATTGTGTACATACGATATATACAGACACCACGGTGTGCTGGTGGGTACATACACATATATAACATGTTATCAGCCTCTAAACTATTGTCTGAGTACGCTTTAAGCTGGTCTGTCTATATTGCCAAGGGTCAATTACTATACGTATAAACACACACACTATTTGTCAATATATATGCAACTTGATCTACAGCTAGAATATGGTATAGGTATGCTCAAGACCTGCCTGCTTATCTCGCCCTAGATCTAGTTTCAGAGTAACAGCCGTGTTAGTCTGTATTCGCAAAAAGAAAAGGAGGACTTGTGGCACCTTAGAGACTAAGCAATTTATTTGAGCATGAGCTTTCGTGAGCTACAGCTCACTTCATAGGATGCATACTGTGGAAACTGCAGAAGACATTATATACACAGAGACCATGAAACAATACCTCCTCCCACCCCACTTGTCTTCTGCAGTTTCCACAGTATGCATCCGATGAAGTGAACTGTAGCTCACGAAAGCTTATGTTCAAATAAATTGGTTCGTCTCTAAGGTGCCCCAAGTCCTCCTTTTCTTTCCTAGATCTAGTGTTTTATGTAATATATCTCTATGTTTTATGGCATCATCTGGCCTCTTATGCCTGCCCCTTCGCTCTTTTTCTGATTTTCGATCGAAGATCTCAAACCCCCTTTGTCGCCAGGGGAAGTTTGTTGTGTGTTGGAACTTGCCTTTTCATAGCTGGACCCCTCCCTCGAAGGCCATGAAACGGTGAATTAGCCAGTTGGGCAGGGCATTATATACCAGCTTCCCATCCACACACCCCTCTCATCTCCTGCCCTCCTGACAGAGCCCTGCTTAACATATGGGGAGAACGGCTCTAGATTTCCGTGGAAACAAAAATACCAGAGATCTCCCTACTTATGTGCGAAGGGAAACTCCCGTCTGAGTCAGAGCGGGTCTGACTGACCTGTTTCATGCAAACGGGTCTTTTTGTGATCGTCCCCCATTGCCACCCCCCCCGCCCGCCCCCCTCCACACACACCCACCAAATTGCAGCAACAAGCTGCAGTATCCACGCACTGGTCCCTTTCTGTCCTCTACGATCTTAACTCTCTCTCCCCCCCTTGGCCAAACAAAGAAGAATGTTGTGTTTGTGTTGGATGGCGGATCTACATTCACAGGAAACTCGCTGCATGTAGAAACCGGGGCTGAAATGTGGTGTTTTAACACAAGGGGACGTGAAGAATGTGAGATTTTCTTTTCTTAGCAGGGCCATTCCTTTGGTTGAGTGTGTGTGTGTTATTAAAGGCAACCCCCCCCCCCCATAGTGACTTCTGTTTAAAAAATACAAGGTCTTTGCTTAGGATGTGGGGGTTTGTACCGTTTTAAGTAACGGATCCGCAAAGTACATTTAAATCAGGTGAGATCAGTCCCAAATTAAAAACTACGTTGGGTTTATTTTCATTCCCCCCACACACACAACACAGATACTCAGGAATGTGGCACCTCCTCCGGTGGTGGGGGGGGGGGGAGGGTTGCTTTTAAATGAAGATAATTTGTGGTCGATCACACATGCAGCTTCAACTTAATAAATAATCATAATAATTTATTTGATTATTCTTAAATGACTCACAGTGAACATTGAACACAAAGCAGGGAACGAATAAACAAAACTTTTCATTTAAAGGCGGCTGTAAAGCTGGGACTTCCCTTCTCTCAAAATTTTCCAGGGTAACTAAACCCCCCAAATAAGTGGCCTATGACAGAGAGTTCCAGTTCCTTTCCTAACCTCCATGGCGTCAGGCAAATAGCTCGAGCAGCTTTCAGGGTTAGAAAGAAGTGGGTTCTGATCGGACAATAGAAACCCAGGGGTTTTCTCTCGGCGACAGAAATGCTCCTTTTGGGGAAGCATGGATGGATCAGGGTCACTAGGAGCCAGGCCATCCCATGCCAAAGAAACCTTGGGATTTTACGTTTGCCATGAGAAGTTAAGCCACGTTCCAGAATCATTAATTCTTTAAACGTAAGTAAATAAATCCAATCCAATCCAGACGTTTGGAAGAAAAAGATGAGAAATGAAGAAAAGAAGATGGGTGAGTAAAAAACAAACAAACAAAAAAAAATGAAAGAAACCCGTCTTCGCTTGTTATGATTAATTATGATTATTACCAAGGCTCTCATCATTCACAACAATAAATATCGTAATTGGCAATTAACAAGCATTCTACTTCCGTTCAAATGATGAATGGTCACAGAGCCAACCCCTCTGAACTCAGAGCCGTAACATTTCAATTTTTTTTTAAAACAGGTTTGGCTGAAAACCTAGGAAAATGGCACTAAAAGAAAACGGTAAAATCTCGTAAAACAATTCCGCATAAAGAGGCTAAAATAAATACCATATAAACCTGCACACAGCTACACCCACGCCTGCTAAAAAGGTGATTTCTTAACAAGGAAGATAGCATTAAAATTACCTCGAAAAAGGAGCAAACGCGGTTTAAAATAGTGTATCTATAAATGGGTGTGTGTGTGTTACTGTTAGCATGCATATCTATATAGACACGCACATCTGTCTGTCAGGGCTGTGTGCGTATACACAGACATTATACATATAGAACATCTGCATAAAGTGTAGATCTAGGCGCAGAGTCAAATCTGCCTTTACCTATCTTATCCTGCAACACGCTCGTGTACCGCTCGATGTTTGTCTGCCTGGCAGCAGCGTGGCTGTTAAATGAAAGGGTTTTTTTTTTTTTTTTTTTATGAGTGTTTTACATTGTGTGTGTGTGTGTGAAATGTTGGGGTTTTATGACATCACATGGCTAAAGTGCCCAATCAGCTTCCAGATTTGAGAAATTATTTGGTGGGGTGTTTCCTACCATATACTGTACGCCGGGAGCTTGTCTTTAAGAAAGCAAACCCAGCAAAAGGTGGGGACTCCCCCGCAGGATTCCATGCGGTACCATTTTTAGCCCACCACCTCCACCGCTTTGTTTGCTTAGCATCTCGCTGGCATCGCCCAGCAAAAGGGGGACCTGCTGGCTGGTTTCTTTTCGGAGGGAGGTTATTTTTGAAGCGGAAGGTGGTGGTGGGGGGGGGCGGGGGGAGTCTTGGAAGGCGGCAAGATGTTTGGCTTCTTTACTTTTCTTTCTCTCTCGCTGCCTTTTTTGGTTGGGGAGGGGGAAGGGGAGAAATCTAGCCCCAGCGCCGGAGGAGGAACTGGGTATTTGGAAGATGTTGCGAATCATTGACTGGAGCGTTTGAAAGGGAAATCGACGGCTTTGCAGCTTCCCCCCAACAGACACACACACACACACAGACCCCTCTTCTCCCCTTTTTTTGTGGGTTGGAGTTTGTGATCAAGGAGTGGGAACGCAGATGCCCTTCTTTCCAATGACCCCTGGGGAAGAGACAGAGTAAATTCTCCTTGCAACATGTTCCTGACCTGCGAAGGGACCTTCGGAATGGTGCCAGCCACCATGGATTACAACGGGGAAGCCAGGCCAGGGGAATTCCAGACTGGCTATCAAGAAATCGAAGGGATAAACCTGGGATACTTACAGATCAATGGCACACAGATGTTTGCTTTGGCCCAGGTCCTCAGCGACCTGTTTAAGGATATCCCCAGGACCACCATCAGCAAGAAGATGGAGACCTTAAAGATCAAGAGCCGCCGCTGCGATCTCAGGGAGCTCCGGACCCTCAAAGCCATCAACTCCGTGCCCACCCGAGCGGTGAAATGCTCGCTCATCTCCAAGGCAGACCTGGAGGCGCTCTGCACCTCCTGCAAGAGCCTCAGCCCCCGGAGGAGGAAGAGGAAGAGGAGAGAGCAGCTGCTGCGGCCGGGCCCCGCGGATCTGTTCGACTGCCCCCGGCAGCCGCTGCGGTCCCCATGCGGAGCCGGCCCCTACTGCACCCAGGAGCCGGGGATCTGCACCCAGCTGGCCCCCGCACCCCATCCCGCCCCGGCCGGGCTCTTCCAAAACTATGACAAAACCACCCGGGGCAAGAAGGGCTACGGCCTGGGAGGACGCGGGGGGCTCTTCTCCGGCGTGTTGAGCGCCTACCCCCAGGACCTCCAGCGGCTCCACTCGGCAGCCCGGGCGCACGGAGCCGGGCAGGCGTCTCCCCAGCCGGAGCCCGGCCGGCCCAAGCGGGGCTCCTGCTGCTCCAAAGGGCTCTTCCCCGAGGAGAAGGGCCCGGGGGCGGCCAGGAAAGGCCGCCTCTTCCCGGGCTGCAAGAGGCAGGGCACCTCAGCCGGCTACTCCAGCGACTCGGATTCCAGCCTGGACTTCGGGGGCTCCAGCCCGGCCACCTCCAGCGACTCATCGGAGGAGGAGGAGGAAGAGGAAGAGGAGGGGGACACGTCGTGCAGCAGCGAGGAAGGCAGCTCCTCGGAGTCGGAGAGCAGCTCGCTGTGCAGCGGGGACTCGGTGCAGAGCACCCGCTACAGACAGGCGGCTCTGCCCAGGTTCCAGCCGCTGGCCCACCCCCCCAGAGAGCCCAGCGGAGACGAGAGGCTCCCGGAGCCCCACAAAGCAGCCCTGCGTCCCGATCCCAACCTCCTGCTCCTGTCCCAGCAGCTCTGGGCCAGGACTCTGCGAGCGTCAACTTTGGAAAGTTTGAGGCCGCTTCCAGCCCTGGGAGCCGGGGCTCCGCAGCAGCAGCCAGAGCTAGTGTGCGCAAAGCCGGAGGCCCCCTCCTCCCGTCCCTCCCCGAGCTGCAGCTACCCTGTGGGGGACCCACAACAAAAGGCGGGAGGCCGTGGGGCGACAGAGCCCTGCGCCAAAGGGGAGGATTTGCACAAAGATGCCTCGAACAATGCAGCCTCGTTAGGCCCCAGTGACCAAGCAGAGAGGCAGCTCGCTGCGCTAGCCGGGGGATCTGCTTCCCAAGAGCCAGCCCTGGGCTCAGCTCCTCCGCCCTCAGCTCAGGAATTCGCAGGGAGCCTCAGCCCGGCTCCCCAGAGGGCCTTAGGGGAGCCCAGGAGGGAGCATTTCGACAGGCTCATCAGGCAATCCAAGCTGTGGTGTTATGCAAAAGGGTTCAACGCGGATGGGAAAAGTTTGCGGCCCGGAGGGAAGACAGAGCCGTGCAAAGCGGCCGAGCTCCAATGTCCCGGCTCCAAAAGCGCACCGAGCCCCAGCCCCTTGTCAAACAAAGCTTTGAAAGGCAATGGCTCGGAAAGGAATTCCAAGCGCAGACGCCTTGCCAGAGGCGTTGAGGCAGAACTGCAACAAAACTCCAGTAAGGGGAGGCCACAAAAGACTCCGAGGAGGAATGCCCAAAAGGGAAAGGCCCATTGCAAACGCCTGGCCAGCGCCGGGCCAGCCCCAGGCAGGAATTCCTTCAGCCTCATGGGCAACTTCCCCTGCACCCCTTCCCTGGTAGTGGGGGAGGATGGGGATCTGCGTCCCGCCGCCTCCCTGTGCGTAAAGAACACCTGCGCGCTCTCCAAAACGCACCCGCTGTGGAGCTGGCAGGTGGGCGGCAGCGCCCTCCCTGTGCCCCCCAGCCTCAAATTCCGGGGCTGTGGCCTGGAGGGTTTCTAAACGAGGCCGGATGAATGTTCGCCAGCCAGGTTTACATGCAACAGTTGAGGGAGGGGGCGAGGGAGATGGGAACCGGATTAATCCCAAAGACCCTAGGGATCTGAAGTGCCCAACTGGAGACGTCTTGATTTTCAGGAAGGGCTGGAGCACCCCAGCTTCTAACCCACCCCCAGGGCCCTTTAAGGTGACTGACCTCCCCAATCAAATGTACCCCCCAAATCACATTAGGAAACCTTGGCCACATATATCTACTGCTGGGAATTTGGAGAGGGGGAGGAAAGTGATTTCAACTCTGGTTGTGGCATGATTTCTTTTTTGGGGGGTCCAACTTTCGGGGGTTCTGTGCGAAAGTAAAACGCCCGCCCCCCAAACAGGTCAGCTGGAGGAATACCTCACCCCCTTTACATTCAGTGGTTTATTCCAACCAGGGTGATTTGGACTAAAATGTGCATATTGCTGGGGAGTGTTCAAGTAGTCCTGCCCTCCTTCCCCTCTCCAAGTTAAAGGAGAACTGTCCCTCCCTTCCCATTCACCCCAAGTTAAATGTATTGTCCCTTCCCACTTCCTCTGCGTTTGTGGGAGAATTTAATGCTGTCATCCCAACACACATTAAACTGATCTCATCAAAGCTTTCTCCTTAAAAAAAAAAAAAGCTGAAGAAAGAAAAGAATGGATCTAATTCCTCCTTTCCTTGATACATGCATTGGATTAAAATAATAATCACATGCAGAGAGAAAGAATGATCTCTCTTATAGAAGAAATACCCCCTCTTTTGCATTAATCAGTCTCATACGAAAAATTGCAAGCAGCTATTTAAACCGAATAATCTACTTTATCTACCAAAGAGAAAAAAAACATAACCCCTCCCACACACACTAAAAAGAATAGGGAGTTTTGTCTGCAAAAAGAAAACAGGCGGGTTTCAGAGGAAGTTATTGGAAACTTCTGCATGTAAATTAAAAAGAAAAAAAGAGTTGTTTGCTGGATACCCTAAGTCGGATAGCCTAAAGGTAGCAGGCCTGTAAAAGCTTTATAGACGCAAGAAATAGGAGCCAGGAGCATTAGGAATAAAGTACAGATGGACAATTTGATCTCTATTAAGCTCCAAAGTGGAATGCGGAGAAGAATGTTGAGAGAAAGTTTCTCTTGTCTGTAAAGAAAATCACATCTCAGTCTAACTCTGCTTACAAACCAGTGGCCCTTTCGACTGTTTCTGATTTGATTTCACCCCTCTCTGACATCAAAATTCAACTGGCTCTGAAGTCTGTTCAGTTTTGGAAATGTTAGACAAATCAAAGCGACTGTGAGGGCTTTTTTTTTGTTTGTTTGTTTTTTGTTTTGTTTTTCTCCCACTCTTTTCCAGCATAAAATATTTTCAACAAAACGCGGATCTGACACCGTCTGAGACCCTGCGATTCCCTCACTTTCAACACATTGGTGTGAATGTTTTAATTCCCCCCCCCCCGTACTGTTATAATTGACTCCAGCTCACATCGTATACATCGGGTTTTACTTCCAATAGAAAGAAAGAAAGAAAGAAAGAAAGAAAGAAAGAAAGAAAGAAAGAAAGAAAGAAAGAAAGAAAGAAAGAAAGAAAGAAAGAAAGAAAAGTAAAGTCGTGGCTCATTATAGAATTATAATCAAAGCAAATATTCAAACCTGGCCACTGGTGATTTAGAGTTTTAATGTCATTCCATCGTTGGTGGGAACAAAATATCCATTACAGGCCAAAAATATTTTCTCTCGAATAATTTATTGGTTTCTCTTAGGCATATTGAGTTATTTTGATGCTAAAAACATTTTTTCTTTGTTTTGCATTTTTCATTGATTGGGTTTTTGTCTCCATTTTAACAAAATGGGTGGGATTCCTCCTATGCCTGTGCAATAACTGTGGAAGGTTATAAAAATCTGCTGTCTGTGTGCGAGAGAGAAATACCTATTCTGTGGACGTCTCTCTCCCTTGTGCAGTTTGCTTTTAAACCTCTTTCTAGCAGACGGAGTCCTTGTCTCCAATGGACACAGGCGCACAAAAATGGAGTCTTTTATTCTTCGCATACATAGACTGAGCTGGGCGTCCTGGCTGCCCGAACAGGGGGTGTGAAAAGCAAAGCCCAGGAGAGAGGGAAAGAGGCGCACACACACACACAGAGAAATAATCTTGGTTGTTTTCCTTTTAATGTCTTAAGGGGAAGGCGGTTCTCCAACGCCTGCTCCAATCTGCACATTTTGCTTCTGGGCTAGTAGCTGCCAGGTCCAAAGCAGATTGTTTGAAATGTGTTTTCCAGGGTTTGTTTGTTTGTTTGTTTGTTTTGGAGGAAGGGGGAGGAATTTGCAAACGGATTTGTGGCTTTTGTTAATCGCAAACCACTGTTGTTTATGCAAGAGCTTGGGGTAACGTCAACAAAGACGCACACACAAAGAGAGAGAGACCGGTTTGAAATATTCAAAAAGTCTGCAAGAGGTGCATGGCTGCTGGGAATGCCAGGCTCCCATCCGAACGTGTTCGCTAGTTTTCCTTTAATTATATGCCTGGTCCTGAAACCCTTGGGCATGCAAAGCTCCCAGTGAAGTGAAAAGGAGAGGGAATTTTTGTTTTTTAGCCTGGATAAACTGAGCAGAAAGGAGACACTTTAGCTATCAATGTTGCTAAAGCAGCAAGCATCAGTAACACAAATAACTCAGGAATATTCTCTGGGATGTAATCACCTCAAAAAGTGTGTGGGTATATATGTGTGTGTTTGTGTCTGTGTACATATGAAACACACAGATTGCATACACGCGCTACTGTCTATGCACACATAGTATAATGTGATGGAGGCTGTGAATATAATATAATATACCTCAAAACTTCCTCTCTTCCCCACAACACGCACACCTTGTATACTTAAGCCACAGAGACCCCCTGCTCTGTGCTAAAGAAATACCTTTCCCCCGACTCTTTGTTTACATGTTGCAAAGAAATGGATCCCAGCCAGGAACGGGAAATAAGCTTCATAGCAATTCTCCATTTCCTTCCCAAAAGGGTGTTGTTGTTGTTTTTTTAAAAAAAGCCTTGTTGCAATGCAATACAAAAAATAGAAAGGAAAACCCAGCCCTTATTTGATATCGTGTGGTTTCAAAATAAATAAACACACAAACACATAAATAATTTAATAATAATAAAAAGATTAAATGGTGCTTTATGGAAAACAAGCAAAACCTCCCGGATAGAAGTCACGAGCGCAAAAGGCATGGGAGGACTGGCATGCTGGAGAGGATGTTTGTATTTTGGAACAACAAATAATCAGTTTGCAACCCTGGAGTCCTTGAAGCTAAACAGGACTCCTTGATAATAAATTTTGTAACCTCGCTTTGTTTCCAAAGTGGGTGCAAAAGGGGGAAGAACCGATTTTTTGTTATGCCATTTTGTTTTCCTAAAAGCGCTGGACCAGAGAGGGGGCAATCCAAAACAATACCTTTTGTTTACAAAACTTTTATAAACTTTGGCTGCTTTTTTACCAAAACGCAGTTAGTTTTAGACTCAGGAAAATCTCAGTGTGGATGTGGGGGGATGCTGTGTGATTTAAGGGTTTATTTGGGGGAGGATGGGGGCTTACTGGGTTTTCAAAGGTTGGGCCCTTTGCTCTACCTCTGCATAATTGGATATGCAGTTTGGGAGCAGAGCACAGAGCAAGCTCTCGGTTTTCATTTAAATCACTTGAACTCCGCAGGAATGGAGGTGGGTTAAATTAGACTTGACCTGCTTTGCTGATCAATCCAAAAAGGGGTGGGGGTGGGGGGGGAGTTCTGCACACAGGATTTAAAGGCACAGCTCTCCCTTTTTCCTGGCAAAGGGGATAAAACAACAATCCACCAACAACTTGTCAATAATAACACACTGTCCCCCAGTCCAATGAATTAGAGAATCGGTGTCATTTCAGAGGTGGGAAAGTTTGTCGCCCGGACATTGGTTCCATAGATAAAGTTTCTCTTTATTTATACTTTATCCCCAGAAGGATTGAAGGGAAATTATAATCTAGGCGTTTACCTCTCGTGAATTCTTACAAGAATCAGGCAGAGAACTGGCCACGTCTGAAACTGCCCCCCCTGCTGTGATGAACTTTTATCCAACTTCACAAAACTGCATTTCCTCTGATTGCTTCCCCCCCCCCCGCCCTTCAGTTTGAAACACGTTTGCTTCCCCCCCCCCCCCAACCGTATATTGGACTTTTTCTTAAGGTTTACTGTAACTTTATTTATTTAAAGTTGTTGTAAGTATGTGACTATGAAAGAGTGTTACTCCCTGCGTGCAATATGGAATCTAGGCTGAGGAATAAATATCTTTTTACAGAGCTAAATTGTATATGGCCCGGACTTGTGTATGTTAGGGAAGGGGAGGGATGGACGGTGTGCTTCGCTGGTTTGTGAGTAGGCAGAAGGTGTGTGGATATATTTCTGGGTTTTTGCTTTGTTTATGGGGGTGTGTTTGTGTGCCCACACTTGGAGGTGCGTGCCTATAGGAGATGTTTGCCTGTGTCAGTGAGTGTGTGACATTTGTGCTCCTTTGTGTACACCGGAGGTATAGGCATAGGCTAGGGTGTTTGCTTTGTTTGTGTGTGCACGCATATTTGGGTGTGTGTACAAAGAGCGGCTTGTGTGTGTTTTCTGCATGAGCCAGCCCTTCCATTGCTGGTGTTTCCGTTGTGTTTGTACGTGTTGTGTCTACGTGCGCATATGACTGTGAGACGAATGTGGATCTGTGCTTGCCTGTCGCATGTGGATGCGTGAGGGGGAGAATGGTTTTATGGGAGCGTGGGGGTCCATTTGATTAGTTTGTGTGTGTGTGTCTGGCTTGCATGGGTCTGATGGATTGTGTGCGTGAGTGCGTGGCCGTTTATGCAAGGGTTTCTCTCGCCTGAATGAAACATTTCCCCTAAACATGCCATCGCAAATCGGTAGCCACTTCCGCCTGATTTGTAGGCCAGCCACGAATACTCACAGAATCTGCTCCCCATCTAGGAATTTCTCTTCGAGGGCCAGGGGACTTGCTGCCTCGTCTGGAATGAGTGAAATCTTTTCCCCCGGAAAACCCACCAAAGAGCGAAAGATCTCGGCTCCCGAGACTAGCAGCGACAAATGTAAGCAAACAAACAAACAAAAACAGCCCCCCCCAGTAATAATAAATATAATAAACAATAAAGCTAAGAACCAAAGAAAACACAGAGCTTTTATACTGGCAAGGGCTTCAAATAATATTGCCAATACAAACTCTGAACCTCAGATTCTGACCTGGAAAACATCCACCCAATTCTTTTGATTCTCAGTAGAAAGGGGGCTCTGGAGTCAGGCAATCGGGAAACAGGGATCCCACAAATCTTGACAGGGTTATGCATTTACTGGGATACAACGCCATTATCCTTTGCTCTTTGGTCGGCTAGATCCTCACACTGCTCCTTAAAAAAGAAAAAAGGTGAACCCCACAGTCTAAATAAATGCCAGCAAAGATTCCCCCGCGCCCCTTCTTCCTTTAAAACTGCCTTGCAACTTTCCTTCTCCAATGCGCGGAGCGAAGGAGTCAATGTCAAAGTTATTCCTCCCCCTCCCCGGTTTAAAGCCTGTTCACATCTAAAGGCAAGGCTCGGGAACATCCAGGGATCCGGATCGGTTTCCCAACCCGGGCAAAGGGCCGGGAACGCTGCTGACTCCGAGTGGCAGGCTCGCCTCAGATCTCATCCAAGCGGCATTACCCCAGGACTGTTTTTATCTTTTTTTGTTTTTAAGGGGGTCATTTAATAAGGATGTTAATGATCTGCACACAACTTCCCAAGGGAAAGGGAGGAGGGCTGGGGGAGGAGGAGAGAATGCACCCACCAGCCCTCAGGAAATATTTTCAGATATTTCAAGTCAAAGGCTCCTGGGGAAATATATGGGCTAGGGGCAAGGAAGGGAGGTAAATTGTAGGGGGCAGTTTCATTTATTTAGTTTAGTGTCAGGTCGTTAATGATAAATTAGATAGCTCAGGGAGGGGCTCAGGAAAACAGCAAGCTGTGAGAAAAAGACTAAACCACCCCATCTAGGATCTGTTGTGGGGGGCAAGGGGGAGGGAGAGAGGATAAAGCTAGGAGGGGGTTTGAGGGATTAGATGTCACTATAAAGGCTTTCAATTTACCATGTTTACATGTAGTCAACAGAAGAGACTGAACAAGGGTTTACGGTGAGTTATGAGGGTCTTTCTAACTCTTATATGGCCTTATTTTTAAAAAATAAAATAGTTTTTTGTTAAGGTATCTGCAAACTTTTCCTGGAGGTAGGAAAAACAAACCAACCCAACAATTACACTTTTGAGGCTCTCTCAGCTGTTACATATCAAGAGGTAGAGTGGATGCTTTTAGCAATTGAGAGAAATCAGCCTAAATGAGTCCATATGGGAAAACATACACCCAGCAAAATGAAATAAAAAAGGGGCACGGGGTGGTGAAGGTCTGTCCTCATTCCGTAGCTGGAATCGGGTTTGCAAAGACGGGCCAGGAACTTTTTAAACTCCCAACAACAAAACGCTGCAAACCCCAAAGCCTGGCCTCTGGCTTAACACTTACAATAACCCCGCTGTCCTCAGAGCTGAGCTCCTCCAAAACGGAACATTCCTCAGTACGAACTGGGCAAGCTGTATATATATAAGGAATATATATATATATATATATATATATATATATATATATATATATATATATATAAAGCAGAAATTCATTCAGAATCGTTTTTTAAAACTCTGAGTAGAAACCTTAAGAACGGTATTTGGCGGAGTTAGGGGAGAACTAACTAGAGCACAACGATGGAAGGAAACTGGCTGTAGCTTGTTACTCCTGTGTGCAAACCGATTTGTACTCTGTGCTTGTTTAGACCGAGAAGCCTCGCAGGGGACTAGACTATAGTTTGTTACCGCTAAGGACAAATGATGCCCATGTCCTACCTCTTAGGGTGTGGCTGTTCCTTCCACGTTGTACTGAAAGCCCTCACCACGCTTTCTTGCGCCTTTTTTGGTTTTTGATTATTATTTATTTCGCCATTGCCCTTGGATCTGCTCCCTGATCAAGGAATTGAAAAGCAAAATTCTCCACACAAGCAAACAACAAAAATCTTCTCCCCCTGGCCGAAGGAATATTGCAAATAAATGCCTCCTCTGATCTATTTTTTACAAACATAAGTCGAGCCCCTTCTGTGCACTGAACAGCTCAAGCGCTCGCGGATTTTATGTTTATTTCGACCCTTTCCAGGGGATCGTTAAGACTTTTTAATCCATCTGAAATATTAAGGAGATTTCTTGTAATTCATTCATTACAGTGATTAACAATACATTGCTTAGGACACTTGGCATCTTGCACTGAAATAACACGCCATAAAAAGAAATAACATCAGACCCTGGCAGGAAATCGGTGCAATTTCAGTGGTAAATTACAGAGAAATATGTAACGTTGTGGGCCATATTTTTGCAGTCCATAATCCAGAATATGGCAAAACCTCCCATTTGGCATCAGTTAAGGACTGCTGCTTTTAGCCCTCATGCGACATATTTTTTTAAATTATTCTTTAACTTCCCATTAAAAAATCACTTAGAGGGAAATATAAAGAGCCCACAAGAATTTGGATGTTCTGATCCGTGGCTACTTACACGTGGAGGTGCACTCAAACAACAACAAAGCCTAACCATGCTGGAAACAGGTTATCAATCCAGGGCTGAACAGAAAGTAAATATCAATAATAAATACTAGATCTACAAAAATGGCCCTCTTAGGAGAGGACAACACACATTTATAATAGGTTAGATTAGACTCCAAAAATAGAGAGTGACTCCAGAGGGAAGGCTAGACAGACAGACATCCAAACATGGATTAGGGGTTGTCCTTCCCTAATATGAAGGTAATAAGAGCAGAGATGTAGCTTGACGCCTCGTTCTTATCTAGGGGTGTTTCTTCTGGGTTGCTGCAACTCTCAGACTTGAGTTTTAGTTTGGTCTCTTTCTGTTGCTTTTGAGACTAACCCCTCGGATCATGTCCCTTCTCCCAGCTGCTGGCTTCCCTGGTGGGTGAAGGGTTAAACATGCTCTCCCGGCGAAAGCTTTTTGCAGGTGCAAAGAGGGAGAGAAAAAAAATTAAAGCCCTTAAGGTTGATAGTGACAAAGGCCCTGGGAGACACGAGGTGCAGCAGAGACAAATAGGCATTCGTGCATCAGGTTACAGCAAAGAAAAGAGCGAGTTTTTTTGTTGTTGTTGTTTGTTTGGGGGAGGGGGCTTGGTGGGGGAGGTGGGTAGTTTAATTTGATCAGCTACACACAGCTCCATTTTGCTCCCCGTTTTGAAACCGAGGTGTCTTGTTTAAAACCGACTCGATTTTTGCGTCTGTCCAAGTCCAGAAAGAACCTTGTTTGTTTTTTAAACGCAAACTCCCTCTGTCTTAAATTGGTTATTTAGCTCCACCTGAACCCCTGGCCTGGAAAGTGCAAGCCCCTTTCTATTGTTCACACAGGCACTGATAGGCGAATGTCTTTAACAGCCACGAAGGTCTCCTAATAGGTGGGAGATCATAGGTCCCTGGAAATCCTGCTCTATCTAATCCCCTGCTCCCTACTTTGAGAGTTGCCGTGGCCAAAGGGGGGAAACGAAAGATTAAGATAAGAAGAGGCCATTGTGATGGCTTTCGGAAATACACCTCCTCGAGGCACACACAAAAAACACACTGAGGGCGAAATCCTGGCTTCATTGAAATCAGTGGGAGCTTTGCCATCGT